ATCAGGGACCGCGGTTCAATCCCCCAGCACCACATGCCAGCCAGCCCCGCCCCCTGGTGGGCTGAGCTGGCCACACACACACACACCACTCTCTCTCTCTCTCTCTCTCTCTCTCTCTCTCTCTCTCTCTCTCTCAAATAAAAAAAAGAAATAAGAAACATAGATACAGTCAGTACTAATTATCACTTGTGAATTAGTGACTCTAGGAATAATAGTGCAGTTTGGAGACTCAGCAAATAAGAGTTTTGAGCATTTTTGGATGACTAAGAAAGCCAATAATGTTCACTAGTTGTTCCTGAAATTTGGGACAGACTAACAAAGGAAAAGGATGAGTGTAAAGGTTCAACTTCCCAGCTGCAGACATGCATGGATGAAATAAAATTTCCTAAGTGTGTCCTGAAAAAGAATCAATTCTTCACCATTCCTGAAGTCATAGGGCTAAAGTTCCAAAAGACCAAATCAGCTTTAATCAGGCCTGGCTGAATTACAGCACAATTTAACTATCAATTGCAAAGGGTATCTGTAGTTAAAATGAGGGGACTGATTAAAAAAAATAATGAGATTCTGTAAATTGGATGTTCTGGGGAGAAAGAATACTTCAGAAATGAAGGGCAGCTCAGTAGCTTCACTCCAAGGCTGAACTGGCCATCATGTCTTCTTCAGCTTCCTGGATCCACTCAGCCACCAGGTCACTATGCCCAGAAGCCTCCTACAGAGCCACAGTGTGCAGAGAATGAGTCCCAGCAGGAACAAGAAGACATCAAGCAGATACTGTTCATACCATGGCTGCTGGAATGCATAGGGCTTGAGGTGTGCGGCCCCCCCAGTCTGTAGAATGTGGTCAATCCAGCCCACCAGTCGCTGTGTAGGGGTCAGAGGTTGTGACCAGTGGATGATGCTGGCAGCCACTGCTGCAGACTTGTACCTATTAGCAAAGAAGTAAGGTGGCATGGTGAATGTGGTCTCAGAATATCAAACACACACAAGATTTTACTTTGCCTACAGGTACACCCTAAATAAAATTTTCTGTAATGAGTTTGTATACCTTAACCCCTTGAAAAAAATTAAGAAAACACCACTGCACAAAGATTAGCCACTAATGCTAAAATCGCTGTAAGTAAACTAGATCTATAAAGACTAGTCTGTACCACCAAAATGTTGATGCCATGATAAAAGTAATCAATACATAAGGAGGTGCGTGAAAGAAGACACTTAATCAGAGTTTTTGTTGTTGGAATCCTAAGGAAAACCTTCTTGGTTGTATAACCAGTGTGCTGAGTTAGTAGTAAACATGCAGACATCAGATCCCTTCTGTTGCCTCATGTACCTTTACTTTATGAGAGCCTGCTTTGTGGCAGGTCTTGGGAACATAGTAGAAATCAACAGAAACTCCATCCTGTCATTGTGGGGCTGACTTTAAGTTCTTTAGTTTGGAGACACAGATATGCAATAAGAGCATCCATAATAGAGTTGTTACAGATCCTGTAATGTGTGGGGACGTGAATAGTATATGACGATTGGGTAGAGGGAATGGAGAAGGTAATTAGGACATCCACTGGCATGAGCTTTCTAAACAGGCTAAGCTTAGAGATGTCTGACCTAAATGTCATAGCCCTGTGAGCATTAGGAAAGGGTTCTATGGGGCAGCATAGGCAGAGATCCTGGGACCAGATAGCATGCATGTAAGAGGACACATGAAGAAACCTAGGGATCTATTTGAAATGATTTCTAAACAAAACAACTCTCAGAATTGACATCCTGAACACACAAAAAGGATCAGAAAATTGCTCAAAGTAAATTATCTGAAATTAGTCTCTTAGCAGAGGCAACAGATCAGCTGTTATCATGATGCCTATTATTCCTTATGCTGGAAATCTCTGGCTTGTTGGAAAACAGACCAACACAGTGTCCCAAGTTTTAGGCCTGCATTTATCTTAAGGGACCACAACACAAGAATGTTGCATACCTCTTATCTTCTATGACTTCTTTTATCTTAAGGATCAGTGTCTCTGCCGTGAGCATGTTGTATTGAAGAGACACACCAAACTTTTTAGCTTCTACTCGGACCATGTTATCAGGCTGATCAAAAAACACAGGAATCCCCACAATGGGTACTCCGTGCTGGATGGTTTCCATTATACTGTTCATTCCACAGTGTGTGACAAAGAGGCGGATGCTAGGGTGAGCTGTTGGCATGAAAGCATAATGTATCAGTAGGAAAAGCTCGAGAGCACCAGAACACAAGTAGAGCAGAACGCTTATACCTGAGGGGATATCACTTTGGAGCTGACCGGACACCACATTGGACTATTGATGTTTTTAGTTTGCTAAAATTTGTAGTCATATATTTAGATTGAGTTTATTGGTACATTTTAGATATACAGAATCATATTCATCCTAGGGAATTTGTACAAATACATGATAAATTGTGAGTCATCTTTTTACAATCCCCTATTTTCCCTTCAGTACTTCTCCCCCTCATTTACAAAGCTTTATTTCTTCTTCATCCTTTTAACTTTTTTCCTTTTCCCTTGTTTATAGCACAAAATTATTATATTCATTGGAGAAAACTGGTGCATCCACATGACAGATTTTCTCTTTACTCCCTGATTGCCTCTCCTTCCCTTGCCCTTCCCCTTATCTTTACATTCCCTTTCTATTTGCAAACTGTCTCTATCCCTGTTTTCTATTATCTATATGTTGTTCTGCTCTTTAACTCATATGTACTTTGGATTTCACATAGAAGAGAAACCATAAACTATTTAAACATGTACATCTTATTTATTTCACTATTATGGTCTTGAGCATCCATTTTTCTACAAATAAATAAAATTTATCATTTCTTATAGTGGAGTGGTACTCAACTGTGTATAAATACCATATTTTCTTTATTCATTCATCTGTTCATGGAACCACAGTCCATTTGCAAGATTTAGCTGTTATGTGGTCTTTTGTGTGTGTATGTGTGTGTGTATTTTAGTACAAGGTCTACAGGGTCTCATTACACAGATCAGACTTGTAGCAATCTTCCTGTGGTCAGCCTCCCAAGAGCTGGGATTACAAGCGTGTACCACCATGCCGAGTCTCAGTAGCTATCTCAGTGTGCCCCAGGGGCAGGGCCAGCATGGCAGTTCAGGGACCATACCTCAGCCACTGTGTCTGCCTAAGCAGGTGCTTTAATCTGCTGAGCTATTTGGCTGGCCCTAGCTGTTATGAAATGAGCTACTATAAGCAGGATTAAGAATGTATCACTGTAAAAACATGTTCTTCAATTTTGTTAAGATACCTACTAGGAGAATAGCTGGATTGAATAGAATTTCTAGTTTTAGTTTTTTAAGGCATTTCCACACTAATTTCCATAATAGCTGGGCTAATACATCTTCCCATCAAGCATAGAGTAAGGATTTTTCCATAGACTACTAGCCAGCATTAGTTATTATATGATTCCTTTTTTTTGTTTTTTACCAGAGATCAAACTCAGGACCTTGCACTTGCCATGCAGACACTTATGTCACTGAGATATGTTCCTCTCCCTTACATGATGTCTTGATGATAACCAGTCTTCCTAGAGTAAGGTGGAACCTCTGTACTATTTTAATTTGCATTTTTCTAATGCCCAGATACATTGAGTTCACTCATATATTTATTAGTCATTTGTTAATCATCTAAGAATTTTCTGCTCATTTCAGTTGCTCATTTGATTGAGTCTTTTATTTGTGAATTATGTCAAATTAAAGATTTTCTGCACAGCCAAAGTATCAACAAAAAGTAAAGATGAAAACACATTTTGGCCAACTGATACTCAAATAGAGAACTAATATCTAGCATATATAAAGAACTCAAAAAATTAGACCTCCAAACATGTTTACTCTTTTTAAACTTAAACTTCAAAATCAAGGAAGGATGTTCTATGTGCTTCTGATTTTTTGAGGTTGCCTGCTATCTTTTCCTCATTTACAGTACACTAGATGAATAATATCAACCTGTATCGCAAAGAATCCACTTATAACTCCAAGTAAATGAAAACACTTTTCCCAAGCCTATTTTCTGTGCTTCATATGTATAGAAAGCTGTATTTTAAATTCCAAAACTGATCATGCGATAGATCATAGTTTTAGTTACAGCCTCTGCTCCTCTCCTCGAGTAAATAGAAATAAGAAATGGCATTGAAAAGTAGATTGGAAAGAATAACTGATACATAAAAGGATCGCTGCATTGTCAAAGAACTTAAAAACTTGACAAGGATTGCAACATGTGGACATCAGACAGTTTAAGCTATCATTCAAATGCTACTGCTCTCAACCTTGTGAGGATGCCCACATTGCATACCCTCAGGGGCAAAATGAGCCTGTAAGCATCCATGCATGTATGTGTACGGTAAACTATTAAGCACATCTTAGAGGGATCCCTGGAAATATTGACAATATGTCACTGGATTTATGTTCTTGAAATTCACATACTGACTTGGGCCGAGTCCTACTTATATCAGAGTCAACTTTCAAAGGCAAATTATAATTGCATCTTGGAGGATTCACATTTGGTATGGCTTAAAGAACAAGATGAAATTGTTGTTTGGGGGCAACTTGAAAGTATAGCCTAATTTTCTAAGAACACGAGCTGGCTATTTCTTTCTTACCCTCAGGAGACTTACATTCACCTTTCAGCAACTATATATAACACTGGACAAATAAATTGGTCCACATACACAAGTAGACATTAGGATGTTGTTGAGAGCACAAGATGAATCAATGGAAACAGAGAAACAGACTTATGCTGTACTCACCCAGGAGGTCATTCTGAGGAAGCCAGTTTACCATTTTTACATTTTGAGCTAATTTGATATCTTTGGGCCAGAGAGAATGATCACATTTCCATATAACTCCTTGGGAGAGGTTAGCAAAGGCTTTATTCATTTCCTTAAGGACTGTTTGGGTCTGAAACCTGCTTATAAAAGAGCCCAGGGCCACCAGAATGAAACCAGTGTCATTAAACTTGTTAATGAAGTTCTCCAAGTCCTGAAAGAAACAGCAAATTAAATTAAGTCAGAGTTCTTTCTGAAAAGCTAGGCATGGCTACGGTGCAATAATCAGACCATGTAGCAATCCACCCTCCCTTAAATGCTTAGTGCTCACTCTCCTGACACACTCTTCATAGCCCTTGCCATATCTCAGCAGTCATGGGCACCATGGGGGCCTGAGAGGTCATTGTTATGATAATCTAGGTAACACTCTCTGTTTAACTATATTTTAAAAACTATGCATGAACTGGAAAAGTCTGTTCCTATTAACAGCATCATAACAGCTCGTGTGATGCAAGAGATATTTATAGTATAATGTGGCACCAACTCTTTGCAGTCCTCAGTGCTCATGCCCAACCACACTTTATGAAATCACTAAACTTGAATGAATGGATATAGCTTTCTTTACTTATATTTCTTTATTATGTATCTTTCCTTATTATCTTTCTATATATTTTTCTTTATCTCCTTTCCTGACAAAGTATCAGAATCATGCATATTTCCCATCATGCTTTCTGGGACATATGGAAATTTGAAGCAGAGTACTAGTTTCTGGAACATGAGTGGGTATTCCTGTCAAGTAGGTTGTAGTTAGCCTTCTGGAGATGGAGGTGGAAAAGTTTAAAAGATATAGCCGCCATAAGAATTAGAAGCAAATAACGTAAGACTCTTTCTGCTACAGCTAATATAGAACTCAACACTTTTTGGCTTCAAAATCTCATGTCTTTATGATACACTGATATTAATCATGTACCTTTTTTAAAAATTTGTGATTTAAAATTAAGTCTGAAAATTGGAAATAATAATGAAGACATCTTTAAAACAGGACTGGTACCAGATTAGATTTAGTATTCATATCTGCCCCCAATGATCTATCTATGAAATTGAATTTCACGAAACTTGCATTTAATCACTTGGAAATTAAAATTTTATTTTCATCAAGTACATTCACAATTCAACAAAACAAACTGCATCATTTAATCTGTATTCTCAACTTGATATTCTTAGAAAATGAATAAGAAGTTAGAAAACACACATTAGGGTATGTCTGGTGGGATATGGATGTACAACCTTGGATAACACATCTGGCCCTTGGCCCCTGCATCTGCTTCTGTTCTGTTCTTCTTCATGGCTGTGATGAACTACACGGCTTTGCACTACCATACCCTTAGACCATAAGAGTCTTACAATAGAGCCAGCAAATAATGTATTGAGGCACCTGAAACACTGAACCAAATTAAATCTCTGCTCCTTTAATTTGTATGTATCAGTTATACCGTACAAGAAACTTTGATAATAGATAGACTGGTACTAGAGAACTGCAGTCACTGTTGTGACTATACCCAACCATGAAGTGCAGAAATCTTTGGAATAGTTTGAGGGAGGAATTTGCAAATGTTTAGAGATTCTGGTGTTCTAGAAGTTCTAAAATGCAGTAAGCAAAGCCTAATATGTAACTAGGTCAAATCTCAGAAAGGTAGGATGCTGATAAAAAATGTAGAGTGAAGTCAAGCTCATAAGATGTCATATGGGGACTCTTGGGAATTGGAATACAGGATTCTATATTATATTCAGATCTAGTATTGGTATACATATTGCATGGTCCTGAGACTGCAGAGCCTCCCATTTAAGGGATGCACCCTCAGGATCTGATGGAGGACATTTCAAGGCAACCAGGTGTTTGGCTGGCCATATGCATACATCTGACTGATTTTGGGAAGACTAGAGCAAAGAGTAGAGTGTAAGAATTTCAAAATACTAAATTTTGGCCAGAATGAAGGTCAAAGTTTATGGGAATTCTGAAAAGATTATTATCATTAAATAGAAACAAATATGAAGACAAGCAGATTTCTTGGGGGCAACTGTGGTACAAGAAGCATCATGCCTGAACCTTTGCATCCTGAAGTGTGCAAAAATGTAATTCCTCCCTATGAGAATCAAGACTCTGCCTATGCTAGAAAAGGATAGTGAGGGATGTGTGCCCTAGGATTCATTTCATCATTCTCCGCTACCCAAGAATTCCTGGGCTACTATAACCATGGTGCAAAATGATCTGGTCCTGATTGCACTGATGGCATAATCTGGAGTCATCCATGCAATGCTGGTCTTAGTAGAAGGCAAAATATAAGAGATGTGAACTCAGGGAGGTTTCCATGGAGATTTTCAAAGAAAGCATGAAAGCCAGACAAATACATGTAAGAGGATAAAGTTGTTTGTTTTGTTTTGTTTTGTTTTGTTTTGTTTTGTTTTGTTTTGTTTTGTTTTGTTTTGTTTGGCCAGGGCTGGTGCAGCATGTGGTGCTGGGGATCGAACCACAGTCCCCTGCGCCTGCCTAAGCTTGCCTAATTAGGTGCTTTTAGACCACTGAACTATCTGGTCAATCCAAAGATAGAGTCTTCTGAATGAGTCATTGAAAGATGATTCATGAAATTTTGGAATATCAGAGAAAGTTAAACCTAAGTAGGATTTAGAAGCAAGGGACAAGGAGAACCTGACAAGGAAAGCGCAGGGCACTGAGTGGAGCCAGCCCAGCAGAGAGGCCATGTGGACTGAAACTTAGACCAACATAAGGGGGATTTTCCCAATGATCATATATCTAGGTACTCTTTACATTTTGAATTGTAAAATATTGAAGACTGTACATATTTTAGTATAGTGTCTACTTTTCCCAAATATTTATGCATTTTTCACATATTTTCATATTCCATTTGTGTATATGTTCATCATTCATATATTTCTATGAATGGATTATTTCAGTAACTTCAAAAGAAATTTGTAATGTTATAATCATTTATTTCAGTATAAATGTAAAATATTATTATTATATCTTCTTTGTCTCTTGTGAATGTTTTAGATAAGAAATTATATAGATCCTATAACAATGTAGCAAACTCAGTTCTATTGAATTCTTACATGACTCAAAAGAAAAACCAATTTTTAAATTTTACAGTGAAAAAATAATAAAAACAATGATACAAAATTTCAAAACAAGATAGTGGGCAAGTATCAATTGTTAATACATGGCATATTGCTCTCTTCAAAGTAGGTGTACAGTTTATAAGATATAGTTATGAAAAATTGATGGAACAATATAAGCACAAACCTTTCTCTTCAATAGAACTAATAGAAATTAATAGTATAACTAATAGAAACTAATAGAAATTAGTAGTATAACTATCTTAACTATTTCATTAATTTATTTATTTATTCATTCATTTTTCCCTTTCCATTCCTTCTTTCTTCTTTTCCCTCATCCAAGCTTCGCTTAACTTTTGAAGTTTCTTCCCATTTCAAAATATCTATTGTATATTTTGGATCTTATTTACTCTTTTAGCTTCTCACACTAGGGAGACAATATAATATTTACACCTACAAGGCTCATTTATTTCACTTGTGAGTATGGTCTCTAATTGAATCCATTTACCTATAGAAGTCTCTAGCTTATCCTTATTTATTGCTGAGTAGTACTCAACTGAATAAAAATATCACAATATTTTTATCCATTCCTCAACTGATGCACATCTGCGTTGTTTCCAGGATTTAGCTATGACAAATTAGGCTACTATAAACATGGGTACACATAGATTGCTCTGGCATGATGCTTCAGTTCTTCTGCAAAATACTCAGAATGGGAATATTTGGACTGAACTGAACAGGACTTCTACTCCTAGTTCTTTTGTAGAATCTGCACACTGATTTTGACAGTGGTTATAACAATCTGCACTCCCACCAACAGTAGGTAAGGGTTGCTTTTTTCTCACAGCCCTTCCAGTATTTGCTATTGGTTGACTCCTTGATGATAGCCACTCTTTCTGGGTGTTTCAATTTGTATCTCTCAAATGACCAGTGATTTTTCCATATATTTAATTTCTACTTCTATTTATCTGTCTGAGAAGTGGATTTTCATCTCAGAAATTCATTTTTCATTAAGTCTTTGAATTTGGAGGGTCTGATTTTATTCAATTATTTATGTGTTCTAGATAGAAGTCCTTTGTCTAGGGAATAATTAACAAAATTTCTTCCACTCCGGGTTATCTTTTCACTCTGTGAGTGATTTCTTTAATATACAAAAGCTTTTTAGTAAGATGAGATGCCAGTTATAGATTCTTTAAAGTATTTCTTGAATTCTCTGTCTATACCTATGTCTTCAAGGTTTTCACCTACTTTCTCTTCCAGGATATTTAGTTTCAATTTTAATATGTAGGCCTTTGATCCATTTTGACTTTAGTGTAGTGATTGGTGGTAGTCTGTTTTTAGTCCTCAGCATATTGAAAGCCAGCATTTCCAGCAGCATTTATCAAAGAAGCTTCCTTCCCATCATGCTTGTCTCTGCTGTCAAAGCTAAGCTGACTGGCTGTATTTGGAGTTGTGTCTACATATTACAATCTGCTTCACTGATTCTCAGATGTTTTTGTCAATACCATGCTAATTTTATGACTATCTTTATAGTATAATTTTCAAGTCAGGGATTGTGATGCCAACCACCTTGTCTTTATTACCTAGGATTGCTATAATATGCTAGTCTAGGTTTCTTCTCACTTCAAATGAATTTTAAGAATGTTTTCTCTGGTCTGTGTGCTATACTAATAGCATTTTGATAGAGACTGCATTAACTCTATATAACAGTTTTGTGAGTACGCCCATTTTCACTGTGTTGGTTCTTATCTATGAGCCATGGATGTCTTTCCATTTTCTGATATCCTCTTTCATCTCCTTTGTCAGAGTACTTTAATTTTCAATGTACAGATCTTTAACTCCTTTATTAGATTGATTCCTAACAATTGGGAGCTTTTGGGGGGAATTACTATTATGAATGGTAGTTTCCCTAACTTCTTTTCACTAAGTTTGTGGGTGGTGTATAGAGATTCTACTGGATTTTGAGAGTTTTGTTATTAAAAATAGAAATCTTTTAGTGACTTTTTGGGGTCCTCTATGTAGAGTATCATGTCATCTATGAATAATGGTAATTTAGCTTCTTCTTTTCCTATCCTTCATCCTTTTTTCCCTCTTATCTAATTGACTTAGTAATGTTTCCAGAACTATATTGAATAGGAATGATTATAGTGCATATTCTTGTCTTTGTTCTGATTTTAGAGTGAATGTTTTCAGGTTTTGTGCACTTAGTATGTTTGCTATTGAATTATCATAGGTGGTTTTTTATCAGATTGAGGTAAAGACCATCTATTCTGATTTTCTGTAGGGTTTTTATCATGAATGAGCATTGAATTTTGTCAAAACCTTCTTCTGCATCTATTGAGATGATGATGCGATCTTTGTCTATGACTCTTTTTGTATTGTGTATTATGATTTGCCAGTTGAACAACCCATGCATTCCTGGGATGAATTCCAGTTGACCATGGGTATAAGCTTTTTGATGATTTGCTAGTATCTTATGAATTTTTGCATCTATATTCATTATGGAGGTTGGCCTTGTAGTTCACTTTTTTGGTTAGGTCCTTCTCTGGCTTCAATATGGAGGTAACGCTTGCCTTCAGGAGTGAGTTAGGGAAAATTGCTTCCCTTTCAATATCATTTACTCACTTGAAAATTCAAATTCAAGAAGTACCTGAGTAAAAAGACAAAGGGGATCAGTAAAAGCAAGCAAAATGGAAAGACAAGGAACCTACACAGTGAGGAATAAAGGAAGAGATTAAAGGAAAATGAAAAAAGAAAAAAAAAATGGAGGCCAGACAAAAGAGAGGAAAAACAAAACCCAAGACAAAAGTAATAACAAAATACAAAACAAAACAAGACAACACCCAACTAGACAGCAAAAGGATAGCAAATCTGACAAACAAGAAAGATAAAAGTAATAAAATAGCGTTTACGATTCTCTGATAGTGTCCATGTTGGGTCCCAGAAATGTGCTATGTACTCCAGCCAAGTTTGCCATGGGAGTTTTACTGCATATGGAGCTGATCTCAGCCTCTGGTTGTGGGGCTTGGACTTGTCTTCTGTTGGTGAGGTTCTCCAGAGTGCAAAAGCAGGCTTCTCCCTGCTGTTTTAGACATTTCCATGTCGCTGGTCTCACTGATTACTCCGCCCTAAAAGGCATGTGTGTGCCTGCATGCATTGAACTGGCTGACCTGGGTTTCAGGGGACTGCTTGCTCCACCCACTAAAAGTGTGTGAAACCCTGATTTAATAAGCTAACTCTGTGCTGGTCAATTTTCCTGAGGGTGTAACAAAATACTCAATACTCAATTTTGTTTTGTTTTTTTTTTTAAAGGTGCATTTGCTTGTATATTATTGGTTCAGTCCATGAGCAAATGGCTCAAAGAAGAAATATTATTGAAAAAAGGTTTAGAATTACAAAATGCTCACTTCATGGTGAACATAAAGCAGAGTACACCTGAAGAGCATCAGAGAGGAAAGAAAAAGGACTGAATGGAGACCTCATGGTCACATCTACTTGACCCACACAGATATAACCACAAGGGTGTTTTACTATTATCCTGGAGGACTTCCAAGCAACTCAAGCTGACAATTGAGCTTAAATGTCACATACTATAAAATGCACTTTCAACAGTGTTTCATCATTTACTTATTCAAAACAATTATGCATTGTTCTTTCCTAACAGCTCCCATATCTCATTCTATGCTGATATGTCAAATAAGATCTATAGTAATGGCACCTACATTATTTAGGCAACTGAATTTTCTTTTTTGTTTGCTTTGTTTTGTTTTATTTGTTTTGTTTTGTGTCTTAGGGTAGTGTCTATAGGGTGTTCAGAGTCTCACTACTAGATCAGACTTGTAGTGATACACCTGTTTACAGCCTCCCATAGCTGGGATTACAGTCATGTGGCACCACACCCAGTCTCAATTGCCCCTCTCAGTGTGCCCCGGGCGCAGGGCCAGCACATCAGGCCCGGGGATCAAACCCCTGGCTCCTGCGCCTGCTTGCAGGCACTTTAATCTGCTGAGCTATTTGGCCAGTCCCTGAATTTTCTTTGAGTCTGTGTTACCCGAGTCACCCAGGAAACTCAAACTCATGGCCTCTTACAGTCCACATCCACATATTCAGGTCCTGTCTTCCCCATTAGTGAGATTCTCCAACCCAGGCTCCATGTCTAAAAACCCCTAGCACCAACCTAGAGGCCACTTTCACATAGATAATTTGCCAGTTCCTGTTCCCAAAGACCCGGGTCAATAGATGAAATGGAGACCCATTGGTGCCTGGCAGTGCCAAAACAGCTTCAAGCCCTGTCTGCTTGAGCTAAAGGACAGTGAAAAGCTTTACTATATTATTCACACATCTCGCTCCTTGCCTTCTAGAAATATGAATGATTTTACCCTCCCCACAGGGAGATATGTAATATATGAGATGACCTCTATAAATCAGCAATGCAGGGCTAACAGGCAATAGGAGGAGTACTGATTTAGGTCTCCACCATTTCATAACTTCTATGGCAGCTTTTCTAAACCAAGACTTAGTGCTATCTAGTTGGTGCAATTAAACCAACTAGACAGCTTTTACAGGTTAAAATATCTGGGGCTTGCCTGAAATTGTTAGAAAGTGTAGTCAAAACACTGTAAATAACTACTATGAAGAGAAAAAACATGCAATGTATGAATTATAACTGTCATACTAGCCTGTTTTGAAACGTGTTTCTCATTGCTATTTCTCATTGCTATTTCTTTCTCATTGCTATTTCTTTCTCAAAAAAATAATTTAAAAAAGGAAAGTCTACAAGGAACCAGGAACCAGGGCCTTACATGCAGGGACCATGGAGACAAGTGTTGCAATCTTTGCTGTCACTCTTACACAGTCATCTCCTGATCATCAACTGCCTCACAGTGCTATCTGTTCTAGGTCAGCAATCCCCTTCACAGTTACCTCTAATATTGGGGGGTGGGCACTAAGTGTCGATTTATTATCATATGATACCAAATTCAAATGAAAATGCCAATTTAATTAAAAGTAGTACCACATCTCTGACTTATGCTTGAGTGAGGCAAGGGAAGGACCTTCAATTTCAGGTTCTAGCACAGACCTAAACTGTATTTACTGCCCCCTTAAAATATCTGCCCTGTGTGCCTTCCTAATTTTATCATACTTAACCTTAGTAATACTCTAGAAAGTGGCAGTCACCAACCATACCCTTAGAGCCTGTACTCAAAACCCAAACAAAGGAATAAAGATTTACTTACCTGTGGTATTGGCTTAATAGGTTTTTCCAATAAGCCCCCAATATAAACTGTGTTTGGGAGCAGGGGTCGAGCAAAATCAAACCCAAAATCACAGTTGATAAACCATAGCTCTGCTTTCTGTAGAAGATGAGAGAAAACTGGCCTGGATCCTTCTGGAAAATGTTCCTTGATGACGTTGTCAAAAGTAGAGTGCATTTGCCATTGCTTCACATAAAACACGAAGGACATTAGAAAGTTTCTCACACGGCCCCAGAAGTCCATTTGGTCGGTTAAGAAGGAACCATACACAGGAACATAAGACAAAGGGCTGGGCAGCCCAAAGTCCACATAGTGAAACATAGAAAGAAGGACCACAAATGGTTTCTCAAGCTTTTCAGCAATCAGGAAAGCACATAAATCTGTGGCATCAAGAAATACCAGATCAAAGCTCTCATTCCTTAAGGAGTTCATGATATCGTCTCTGTGAAGCAAATAGCTGCATGAAGTCCCCATGTGTTCCCACAACTTTAAAATTACATCAAATACATCTCTGCAAAACAGAAGAGCAATAAGAAATATTTTAGAAAGCCATTAATTTCCCAGTAATTGGGAGACTCAAACTATTCCAAGTAAGTTATTGTATGGCCACAATTCCAAATGTGATTTACCACTTTACACCAAATACCCTCACCAGATATCTCTCCTCCTTAAAATATTCCCACTACCTCCCACCCTACTTCCACCACTGATATAGATACATCTGTTACAGATGCAGATTAACATCTTTTGCTCTGAAAGCCATTATTGAGTCTAACAGATCTAAGAATACTTTGTATCTTTGTTGAATTCTACGATGTTCTGTTTAGACCTCACTTACTTAATGACTTTTCTGATGACTATACTGTTTCCCTGCCAATCTGTATAATGTGATGAAAGCTTTGATAAATATCTATGGTATTACCTTCATTTTTAGTTTCATATATCCTGTTATTATGATGATGATTATTATTACTATTGCTATTATTTAGTACTAACAATTGAGCTCAGGACCTCATGCTTAATGGAAAGGTGATGTGCCATTGATCTATGTCCCCAGCCCTGTATCCTGTATTTAATACACACAAAAAAAATTCCTGCTTATATTATTAGAATCCCAATTGACAGCTGAAAATGAGGTTTCCATCTTTCTACATGGGACAATAAGGAGTTAAATTTTTATTTTGAAGTTTATTGCTGTCTTTGCACATCCTGCTGATTCAATTATTTGCAGAAAACAATACCAAAGTTTTTAGTGTTATTCACCATATAATTAAAATTCTTTTTCTAGAGTACTATCCCAACAGGTGTTGTGTTTAAAAGGTTCACTCCATTGCCTGCTAAGTTAATGGTTTTGTCCTATAGTAAATGGCAAAGAAAGGAGGAAGTCCCCAGGCAGTGGTGATAGAAATAGGTATTTTGGAGAAAATAAGCCTCCCAGTCAAAGAAGGTTCTGTAGACCCCGTAGGTCTGCAGACACTCTGCACCCTAAATGCACTCTCCAAGTTGATCCTGTATAACAAAAGACTCACAAAACTTAGTCACATTCAGATCACTGCCTGTTTTTTACATGTGACTTCAAGTGTCAATGAGAATGCTATAGTTTAGATGCAATTTGATCACAAGTGTTCATGTAGCAGAAGCCTAGTTCTCAGTGAGGAAAGGTAGATGCTGGGTGACATTTATAAGGTGGAGTCTAGTATTAGGAGAAAGGATAGCAGAAGACCTGCCCTCAGATGTGATACAGCAGTTCTCATGGTATGCTGAGTTAGGCTCGTGGGAGAGTTATTATTCTGAAGAGACCAGGCCACTACTTTGCCTGGCGTCTGGTCTCATCATGTTCTCCTCCTATATGTGCCCCCAGAACTACAAAATCATCGTCATGAGAGCATCACCAAAGATGAGCTGATGCTTTTTTTCCAGGCCTTTAAACTAGTGAAATCAATCAATCAGTCAATCAATCAATCAATCTCATTTCTTTCTGGAGTTACATAACATTTTTTGTTAAAGTCATAGAAAGTGCACATATACATGAGGTAATTTTCTTCAATTATCTTCCATTTTATTTTAAAGATATTTTACATAAAGAATGTTGGTAAAAGGAAGTGCCATGGCAGCTACAGGGACCTGGTGAGCACTGGGCTACCCCCTCTCCCACCATCATGGGAGCTCAGCTGATCTACAACCACCTCTTCTGCCATCATCATCACTGTAGCACTGTTGAGCGTCTGCTGCATGACCCAATGGTAGCGGGATCCTCGGTGAGCCTTACCCCTCACCATCATCAGGACAGACTTGTAGAGCTTCAGCCTGCCCTCATCATCATCAGATTCTGCTTTTTTTTCTGGTACTGGAGATCAAACTTGGGACCTTGTGCTTGGCAGGCAATTGCTTACACTGCTGAGCTATAACCCTGGATCCATTGGACCCTTCTAGAACTGTGGTTTGTCCCCCTCTCACCAACATGAAAGCCACAATGAACCCCATTCAGTGGGATCTTTAGTGAACTTACACCACATTGCCATTCTAACAGTAGCCTCGCTCACTCACACCCTGCTCTCCCATCTCTTCCCAGTCAGGGAGAACATTAGCAGCATCAAAAATGTGAAAATGAAAGAGTAAAAGCCAATCTCAGACCTCCAGCCCACCCAAGACAAATCCAGGAGATATAGACATAGAAGAACTTGAAAGTCACACACCTGAAATTTCTGAAATGATAATAACTGAATACACAATTCCATCAGGCAGTGCAGGAAATGAGATCAGAAATACTCTCTCAGGTAAAAATGAAATGAAAACAATCATGAAAGAATTGCTCAGTACATCTAAAGAAGACATAAATGTAAGAAAAAGAGAAAAGAATAGGAAAATGATGGTAACATTGAATGAATAATACAAGAATGAACAAGAATTCATGAAACAGATTCAAACAGATATCCAGGACATTAAGAATTCCATTGAAAGTTTGCAAAACTACTTGAACAAAACAGAAGAAAGAATTTCAGACCTTGAAGGTAGAATTTTAGCTAGTGAACATGAAAGGAGATCTGTTAAAAATAACAAATCAAGAAATAATGCAACCATTGCAACATGATGAAAAGAAAAATAATGTGGGACTAAAAGGTATCAAAGAAGCATCTGGAGTCAACACAAATGACATAAAAGGAATGTTTACAGAAGTAATAGCACAAAATATCTCAAGCATGGGGAAAGAATTTGACATACAGTTAAGTGAGGCATATAGAACTCCAGTTAGTCATAATCAAAATAAATCTATGCACAGATACATAATAATCAAGATTCCAGAAATTCAGCAAAAGAACAGAATATTAAAATCTTTTGGAAGTATTTGAACAGGATATCATGTCTGTATCTTGTACTATGAATAACTACTATGAAGACAACAACATGCAATGTATTAATTATTGTAACTGTCCTAATAACCTGTTTTGAAAGTGTCTCATTGCCATTTGTTTCTCAATAAAATTAATAATAAATAAATAAATAAAAGCTGTTAGAGAGAAGAAACAGATCACCTATAATGGAAAGCCGGTCAGAATCAGGGCAGATTTCTCAACACACAGCATCATATCAAGAAGAGCTTGGAGTGAGACATTTCAGATACTAAAAGAAAACAACTTTAAACTCAGATTGATGTGCTCTGCAGAACTATCTATCCAACTGAATGGAAAGATAAGATACTTCTATGATAAAGAACATCTGAAAAAATTCATAACCACCACACCAAACCTACAAAAAGTACTCACAGATATTTTTCCATAATTTTATTGAGAAACAGATAGCAATAAGACAGTTTCAAATCAAATTAGTAGAACAGTTTCAATATTTAACACATTGCATACTGTCTTCCTAGTGGTTATTTGTTGTACAAGATGCAGACATGACATCTTATTTACAAACACTATTAGAACAAATCCTTCTATTCATTGAATTAAGAGAATGTAGCTACATATCTATCCTAACCATTTTGAATACACAGATACAAAACGGTCATTCATCTGTATCCCATTTTTTGTTTACTTCCGTCATTTAAATATAATAGGTATGTGAACTCAGCAAAATATTCCAAAATAGTCCAGTAGTCCATAATAGTACTGGGTCTTCCACATGACTGGCAATGTCAGAAGTTGTTGACCTGAGTCTCCCACAGCTCAACATAACAACATGGCTTTACTTCTTATACTTCATTTTTATACTTTTCTGCTGGATGGTTAAGACCAAGATAAAGTAAGACCTATGTAACAAGAATTGTAGCTTTTGCATCTGACAAGTCAGTGAAATCCCCTCAGGATTTATCCTCAGACCCTGTACCTCAGATTGTAGATCCTTTGTCAGTGTCAGCCATGTGGATGAGTCACAGTCATTACTT